AGGATGTAATTTTTGGGCCTGAGCGGTCAGTTCCCCAGCTCTGTCATGTGGCAAAGGGAAGGACTTCTTTGGGAACTTTTGAGGAACAAAATATCAGCAATACAGTTGTCGACTTGCTTTTTTTAAACATACAGACTCTAAGATTCCCATCCTAGGGCATCACTGACTTGGGGCATTCATTCAGCCATTGGAGTCTTGTGTGCTTGCAGCCTTTTTTCTGACCGGACCGCATGCATTGATATGCCTTGTGTTTCCGTGCAGCTGATCCCATTGTGGCTATGGTACCATTGAGTTCAATGCACCGCCACGCCTCCTCCCGCCCCACAAAAAAGTGAGCTTGCTGCAATGCGATCCATTGTTTTCCAGCCAGAATCGGGCCGGAACGCACTGTGGCTGGTGTGAACTAGCCCTAAGACTTTGCACGCATTTTGTTTTGATGTACCTGAAATGTATTTAGCTCATTTAAACTGCAATATCAATTGGGCTTTAAAGTGCAACTGAAGCCTGTCTGTGTCAGGGAAATGGAGATGCACCCCTCTCTATTTGCCCTGTTGATTGTTATCACTGAAAGTGAACCCACATTTTGGGTTGTCAACAGCACAGGATTAGATGGGAAACCTTCCAATGGGGACACTAGTTCTGGTGACCCTGCTTACCAACAGGGATTTCCCTCTCCTTGGAGGGATTTTCCTCTCGCATCCTGTTGTGGTTATCAGACAGCAAGTGAAGGAAATCTCCCCTAATGGATACAGATGGCAAAAATGCTGAGAGGGGTTAAAACCCTCCCTTACTCTATCCAAAACAGAAGTTTGGGTTTCAGTTCTATTTTAAGAGACTGATTTGAATAAATTCACTTACCACCTGATTACATTTGGAGGAAGTTTCCTTGGACGATGTTTGCACCTACAAATCATTGAACAATCTCGGTCGACAAAAAAATCTTTATACTTTCTGGTTGGCCGATCATCTGCCGCTCTATCCCCGTTGCCTTTTTCTGGCTTTGGGCCTCCATCTTGAACATCAGGACCGGTGACCTCCATATAGAACTGTCCGTTCTTTGGTGAAGATCCAGGTAGCGGCATCCCATGGTAACCAGGTATTTTGCGTGCTTCCAGTTGACTTTGGGTATTACAGTGGGTTTGGTTTGTCTCTTCCATAAACTCCTGGGTAAGGGGGCTGTCAGTTTTATCCTCATTTTGTGTTGGATTAGGAACTTTGGACGAATTGGGCAGACTCTGCTGTATTTCAGCAATCCCTGAACTAGGTTTTGTTGCTGAAGCATTATGAGGATTCGAGAGAATGGAACATCTTGGAGAAGCCTTTGGATTTGGTTGGGGTAGTGCATTCGCGTTGTCTGTACCTATTAATACAAAGTGTGGAGATCTTTGATTTACGTTGCAAAAACCACTAAACTGCGGCAGCCCATTTGAGTTTTTTTGTGGTGAAATGCTAACAGTGTTGGCCTGTTTACTTGCACGGGCAAAATTTGGTGAATTCTTATTTGTACTGCCTTTGTTTTTGCCCCATACTCGATGGTATGTTTTGGGCAAGTTTTCTTGGAGTTCCTTTCCAGATTTTTGAAAAGATGTTGCTTGAGTTGTTCCACACGTTTTTTTTTCTGTGGTCTTCATTTGCTTCACATTGGCTGTTTTCTGACTCGCTTTCACTATTTGTTTTGCTGGCATGCCTTTCCCTCTATATTTATCGTTCAAATCATTCACTGAGCCTTGTTTGGTCACAGGTTGGACATCTAAATGCTGCTCAGAGGGTTTATGTTGTATGTTTTTCTTGAGGGCATCTGCATAGGATAAATGTGCTGTTACTAATACATGCTTCTGTATTGTAATATTACTTTGGGCTTTGCAAGATGACTGAGGTTTACAGGTGGAATGAGCTCCCTGTAGATTTTTCTTGGTCTCCAGTTCTACTTTCTGGGTGACTGAGGTTCCCGTAGATCTTGCATAGGTAGGTTCTGCGTTAATGTCTTTCAGCTTTACTGGTGGGGATTTTAGGGCAATAAAATGATGACATTTGTCATTCATGCTGGTTTTGCTACTCTCCAAGAAACCTAGTATAGGCATTGGGGCTAGGCTTGCAGTATGCATTTTAGCCAACACTTGTTTGGCATGATGTTTTTGGTTTTCTGGTAACCATTCTGAACTGATGGCAGAATTGGCTGTAGGTTTCTTTTCTTGATGTGGTGTAGGCTTTTGGGGTACGTTTGCAGTATGCCTGTTGGCAACCACTTCTTTCTTGTATTGTTTATGACCCCCTAGTAACCATTCTGAACCGACGACTGTACTGACTGTAGGTTTCACATCTTGACATGGTGTAGGCCTTTGGGTTAGGATTGCAACATGCATGTTAGCAACTACTCCTTTCTTGTCTTGTTTATGACCCCCTAGTAACCATTCTGAACCGATGGCAGTATTGACTGTAGGTTTCACTTCTTGACTTGGTGAAGGCTTTTGGGGTACGTTTGCAGTATGCCGGTTAGCAACTACTTCTTTCTTGTCTTGTTTATGACCCCCTAGTAACCACTTTGAATCAATGTCAATATTGACTATGGGTTTCACTTCTTGACATGGTGAAGGCTTTTGGGGTAGGTTTGCTGCATGTATGTTAGGAACTACTTCTTTGGCATTTTGTTTTTGATCCCCTGGTAACCATCCTGGAACGAAGGCAGTACTGACTGTAGGGTTTGCTGCCTGACTTGGTAAAGGCTTTTGGGGTCGTTTTTCAGCATTCATGTTAGCAACTTCTTCTTTGGTGTCTTGCCTTTGAATCTCTGATAACCATCCTGAACCACTGGCAGCATTGAGTACGTTTTCAGTAGGCGCATTAGCGACCACTTTTTTGGCATTTAGTTTTTGGTGTTCTGGTAACCACCCAGAACCAATGGCAGTGTTTACTGTAGGGCTTACTTTATGACTTGGTAATAATTTACATACCTCTTCGTTTTGGACATTGGAAGGCTCCACATACTTTCCTTCTGTAGGCCTTTGGCATAACAGTGAACCATTTGCTATCTTTTCAGTGTCCGTTTTCCGGTTGCTTGTCTGTAATTCAGGTAGAATTGTCGGTGCACATAAAACGGAGACAGGTTCTTCCCTAATTGGTGGAATCTCATTAGTGTTTCCTTTACAGTTTTTATCTGCCATTACTTTCGATGACGTTTCAGGCTGAATGTACTTTGTCTGAGGATTTGAAAATGGTGACGTTTTCCCTGTTTTCAACTCTTTGTCTGTTGTTTTCAAAATAACGTTTTTAGGGATGCTCCAAAATGAGTTGCCTGTCATTTTCAGTTCTGTATCTTCTTTAGGCACTTCCTGAGTTGTTAGAACTTGGGTCTGAGGCCTGACGTCAAGATTTTTGTATGTATTGGCTTTGGTTGTGGTGTTGCTTTTGTCAGCTACCTGTTTCTTTGCGTTAGCCTGGGCTGGCTTTGGATTTTTCTGTGATTCAATGTTACCCATTTTTAAGGTGTGTTACTAACTATAAAGGCACAATGGAAAACAATGTGGAAAATATCTGTAAAATATGGAAAGAGAGACGATTTTGTTTAAATTTAACGTTGATCTTACAGGGTCATTCTTTCAACAAAACACTTTGAGGGGGATTTATGAAAACTGGAGCAGACCAAACCTGGAGCAGTTGTGCAGGGCAACCAATCAGCTTCTCTCTTTCATTTTCAAATCTTAACTGAGCAAACGGAAGAGAGATGCTGATTGGTTTCCATGGGCAACTGCTCAAGATTTTGTCTGCTCCAGTCTAGATAAATCCCCCTCTTTGTATTCTTACATAAAAAAAAAAAGGAATGTATGCCCAAATGTATTAAAAAAAAATTTGAATAGGTATGCTCTACTAAATGGTGAGAGAAGGTGGTGGTTGCCCAAACCAAAGCTGGGCTTTAACCCTTTTGCTGCCAGAGCCATTTTTGCATTTATTTATTTTTTTGCACACATAATCCACATTTTAGGCCTTAAATATTTCCTGAAAGCAGAGACCCTGTAGAATAAAATGTTGCAGTTTTTTATGTTGCATGATATTAGCGCAATTCTTTATCAAACCCTAAATTTTACTGCACAAAACCACAATATAATAGCCATTTTTTGGCAAAATATAAAGAATGAGGTTGTGCTGAGTAAATGGATACTAAGCATGCCAAGCTTAAAAATTGTGTGCGCCCGTGAAATGGCAAGAAAATACGGTACACCAAATTGTCCATAGGCGACTCTTTAAAAGCCTGTACAGGTCATCCTTTTACAGTTAACCGTGAATATTGGCCCCAGAATTATTTATCTCACTCTGGCGTGCGTGGTGATACCTAATGTGTTGTTTTGATCGTTGTTTTGGTACCCAACCCATGTTTTCTTTAGTATGCGAGTGCATGCGGGGATGGGGACGGGGGCTTTAAAAGGTGTTTTTTAAATTTCTTTTATTTAACTTTATTTGTTTTACTTCATTGCGATCACATATGGGGGCTCACACGCCCCTTAAGCCTTGTTCACACCAAATGCAGAGCAGATCCGGTCAGGTTTCTGCACACGCAGTGCAGTGGGTTGTGCTGCGTTTTTGATGCGTTCTGGGCCGTTTTTGGTTAAAAAAAAATAAAAAAATTTAAGTTTAACATGGGCTTTCAGTCACTTGCATGCATTTTTGATGCATTTTTGCATGCGTTTTTGATGCGTTCCAGAACAGGTAAAATAGGGCTTGCCGCAGTTTTTTCACCTGCTCTGGATCTGCACGCTGCAATGTCAACTGGAGCTCAAAATACCATAGGAATACATTGGACGCAGTTTTGATCCGGTCTGCACCTGCTCTGCTCTGGATCTGCTCCGCGCTTGGTGTGAACAAGCCCTTATATGATAGCACTTTAGTAGTGACAGGTTCTCTGTAAGGAGTCTATTAGACCCCTAATATCACCTCAGCAGCCCATTAAACTGTTCAAGCATAGATCGGGCTTGATCAGCTTCTTCCCCGGCTTCTCTTGCTGGGGAATGAGAAGTGAGAAACTGGCAGTGAAGAAATCATCGCCTCTTCCGGTTTTGCTCAGCGGAGAGGAGATCAGCGAACGGGATGTCTATCTCACCTGTACCCGTGCTGCCAGTGCCAAGCCGGCAGGAGGGGCAGCAGGGCCAGGTAGGTTGGGGGAGGTTGTCACATGGTTACTGGCCCCTGGAAGCGATCAGCCACCCGAATCCCATACTGCGCACAATTAAACAGGTAAACAGACTCCTGATGGCTATAGTCCGTTTACAGGAGCCCACTGCTGCCAACGTATCGCATACATCAATGGCAGGGAAAGGGTTAAAGTATATCTAAAACCCAAACCTTTTTTTTTTTAAGTTTTGGATAGGGTATGGAAGGTGTTTGCTTTAGATGTACTTTAATATTAAAAAATATTGTTTATTTTGCCATTTTTCATTTACAGATGTGCAGGAGGGCAGTCCTATACTCACATTACATGTCTATGCTGTGCTTCCTGGTAGCAGAAGGCTGGGTTCCCACTAGTAACCAACGCATGTTAACACACAACAGCAGTTAGTGTGCATCTGCATTGTGCAAAGGCAGCCAGAGTTCATTTGAATGTGCTGTCTGATGCACCAAAGGAAAATCTAGATATTTTAATTGTGCCTAATCAGTTCCCTGAAAAACCTACCTTGTGTCTGTAATTTTTCCTGTAGGGTAGCAGTGCACTTCCTGATATGTGACAGTGGCTAGTCACTCCTGTGCCTACAGTCTTCTAGCGATATACAGTATCTGCAGCGTGAGATCTAAGGCACTGCTGCTTCTGACTGATGGTCTCAAGAGATTTAAAGTGAGATTTGGTGTTGTCACTACTGTGCTGCTCACTGTTCTCCTTGCTGGAGGCTCTGACATGCCAATTGATAGCCCTTTCTTTACCTGGATGTCCGCCTCCCACACAAAGACGCGGTGCAAGGTATGGTAAGTAATAGGAAAAGATCAGCTGCAGGGAGACAAGGAACACAGGTGACTAGTCATTTTCCCTCTGCCTGCCTTTTTTTGGGGGGGGCACAGCTTCCAGAGTTCAGTTTCAGTACACTAATATTGTTTGCTGCCTGGCTAAACCATGATGGAGGGTGCTTCTGATGTAATTCCCCTATCTATTCCAAACCCCTGCTTCTGCTAGGCCCTGCAGCAACCATATTGGTGAAAGTTCAAGAACATGGCTTAGTGAGTAGATTTCTAATTGCAGAAATATCTGCTCTTACTCCATTGTGTCATGCCTTAGAGCAGGGGTAGGCATCTTTGGCCTTTCAGCTGTGGTGAAACTACAAATCCTATCATGCATCTGCCTCTGAAAGGCATGCCTATGGCTGCCAGTCATGCAGTGCCTAATGGGATTTGTAGTTTTACTACAGCCGGAGTGCAGAAGTTTAGCTACCTCGGCCTAGAACCTCTGACAGCTCAGATCCCTAAGCTATTTTGGACAATTGAAAGCTGGAAATGCATCACACTGCGGATGGGGGTATAGGCTGCATCAGTGCAATTATGTTTATGAATGAAATAATAATGATGGAAATAGTCACAAATTGACAAAACTGAGGAATGGATAGTGACGTCGATCGATGGGCATCGGGCATCAGGGACACCTCTGAGATCATTCAGAATTCATTGATAGCGGCATTTAACCTGCAGTTGACCTCTTTCTGATCTGCATTGCACCTGCGTCATCCATTGACTTGTATGGGAATGCCAAATCTGATGCGAGTAAAAGCTCGTCCATGAGGGCCCCAATTATACGCTGACTATGGGCACTTACCTGAGAAGACTCAATGACTGCATTAGCTTTCAGCTGTCACTGGGTGCCTCCTAACTGCCTACCGAACTGGCATCATCGCTATGGCAACAGGAACATATCATAGGCCAAGGGTAGGCAAACTGCAGCCCTCCAAACTGTTGTGGAACCACAAATCCCATGAGGCATTGCAAGATTCTTACAGCTACAGGCATGATTCCCAGAGAGATGCATGGTTGGATTTGTAGTTCACCACAGCTGGAGGGTTGGAGTTCGCCCGCCCGTGTCATAGGCTCAATCCACAAGGCCAATACGCCAAGGTAAGGATCTTTATTTTGACTTGGACCTCATTTAGATGAATGGCAGGCACGGTGGATCGCTTTTCACAGGGCAGTAGAGCAGAGGCTGGTTGGCATTTACTTCCATTTTTGATCCTAAGGGGCATTTTTCATTAAACTGACGTGTCTCAACCACGTGGCAAGCGGTTGCGGGGCAGAGATATCATTTTTGCCACAAAGCATCGCAGCCATGGCAACGTATACAGCAGTGCCCGGCTGCAATGCTGAAAAACCACTGATCAACTGTTTGATTTTACCTCGCTTCGGCCGCCCGTGTAATAGAGGCTTAAAGCTGAGTACAAAAGAATGTGCAATTCGGTCACGAAGCTGGAAATAAAGATCGCCTCACCCAGCAATAGTCCTGGTGCCTAACCCAGCAATAGTCCTCGTGCCTAACCCAGCAATAGTCCTCGTGCCTAACCCGGCAATAGTCCTCGCGCCTAACCCGGCAATAGTCCTCGCGCCTAACCCGGCAATAGTCCTCGCGCCTAACCCGGCAATAGTCCTCGCGCCTAACCCGGCAATAGTCCTCGCGCCTAACCCGGCAATAGGCCTCGCGCCTAACCC